TTGGTAACGAAGAACTGAATACTAAGCTTTTATCTGACATCTGTCTTCATTACGGCAGCGAATGTTGGACGATTTCCTCAAAGATGAAAAAAGATACTCGAGGCGACGTAGATGTGTTTCTATCTACAGAAGGATGCTAAAGATATTATGGACCGAATGTGTGAACAACGATGAGGTCTTAGAGAGAATGCAAACAAGGAGGAGGCGTATACTTAACACCAGCAAAAGGCAGCTGAAGTTCAAAGGGAATATTTTTGGCCGAGCCTACGGGCTCGGAAAAACCCACGCTAAACCGACCTTGTGCCACATACGACCCACCTGTGTGGTGGGTGGGGGCCGTTAAATATAAAGGAGATCCTCTTGTTAATATCGTTATGCGTCCGTTAATATTGCGTTTCAGGGTTCCAGTAACTGGGGAAACCCTCTGCCCTGAGAGGAAATGTTATCAATTTAATACCTGTCTACCCAATGTATATTTTACCTTGAGGTTTATACTGCTCTTAATAAAATCTCTTTGGACACTGCATCCGTTCCACTGTTAATAATGAATGATTCTGACGCATTTGAAGGTCTTTTTTTTTTTTTGTTTATTCTTCGACTACATTCCTGAAAGCATCAGATGTCGATGCGTACATTTGCATTCAGGATGAAGAGAGAAAAAAAGCGAACGAATAATTACCAGGAGAGATGCGACAAACAAAAAAAAAATAAAAAAAAAATTGAAACGCTCCAGAGGTAGGTGCATAATCAAGCTGTACCTAGTTACATCATTCGCTAAGAACGAAAATGAATTCTCTATTCTTTTCTATTCACGGTTTCATTTCCTTTATCAATTTAGTATATTTCCTATTCTTGTTAAACAAGTCCTTTATAATACACCGCTGGTTCAATACAGTATTCATTATTACTAATTTCTTTTTACTACACTATTTACATTATTCGGACTATTGTCCTCATGTTTTCGCCATATTTATTACAAAGGTTTCAGTATCTGACTATATTTCTGAGATGAGGTATTAAATTATTTACATTATTCGGACTATTGTTTCATGCCTTTTTCGCCATATTTATTACAACGTTTCGGACACTGAGATGAGGTATTATTACATTATTTACATTATTCGACTATTGTCCTCATGTTTGTTAATATTTATTACAACGTTTCGGCCTTTTCAGTATCTGACTATATTTCTGAGATGAGGTATTATGTACATTATTTACATTATTCGGACTATTTTTTTTTTTTCGCCATATTTATTACAACGTTTCGGCCTTTCAGTATCTGACTATATTTCTGAGATGAAAGTACATTATTTACATTATTCGGAGATGTCGATTATGTACAACGTTTTTCAGTATCTGACTATTCTGAGATGAAGTACATTATTTACATTAGACTATTGTCCTCATGTTTGTCGCCATATTTAAAAAATCTGACTATATTTCTGAGATGAGGTATTATGTACATTATTTACATTATTATTGTCTTCAGGATATTTATTACAACGTTTCGGCCTTTCAGTATCAAATGAAAAAAATTTACATTATTCGGAAAAAATCGACAACGTTTCGGCCTTTCAGTATCTGACTATATTTCTGAGATGAGGTATTATGTACATTAATCATTATTCGGACTATTGTCTTCATGTTTTTCCGATATTTATTACAACGTTTCGCCTTTCAGTAACTATAAAAGATGAGGTATTATGTACATTAACATTATTCGGACTATTGTCATGTTTTCATATTTGGAAAACGGTTTCAGTATCTTATATTTTGAGATGAATTTTATTATTTATTATTCGGAAATTCTTGTTAAACAAGTCCTTTATAATGACTATATTTCTGAGATGAGGTTCAATTTACATTATTCGGACATATTTATTACTAATTTCGGCCTTTCAGTATTTATATTTTGAGATGAGGTATTACTACATTATTTTACATTATTCGGACTATTGTCTTCATGTTTGTCGCCATATTTATTACAACGTTTCGGCCTTTCAGTATCTGACTATATTTCTGAGATGAGGTATTATTTACATTATTTACATTATTCGGACATTATTGTCTTCATGTTTGTCGCCATATTTATTACAACGTTTCGGCCTTTCAGTATCTGACTATATTTCTGAGATGAGGTATTATGTACATTATTTACATTATTCGGACTATTGTCCTCATGTTTGTCGCCATATTTATTACAACGTTTCGGCCTTTCAGTATCTGACTATATTTCTGAGATGAGGTATTATGTACATTATTTACATTATTCGGACTATTGTCCTCATGTTTGTCGCCATATTTATTACAACGTTTCGGCCTTTCAGTATCTGACTATATTTCTGAGATGAGGTATTATGTACATTATTTACATTATTCGGACTATTGTCTTCATGTTTTTCGCGATATTTATTACAACGTTTCGGCCTTTCAGTATCTGACTATATTTCTGAGATGAGGTATTATGTACATTATTTACATTATTCGGACTATTGTCCTCATGTTTGTCGCCATATTCGGCCTTTTACAATCTGACTATATTTCTGAGGCCTTTATTTAGTATCTGACTATTGTTTCATGAGATGATATTTATTATTTCGGCCTTTCAGTATCATTATATTTTGAGATGATTATTCGGACTATTGTATTCGGACTATTTTGAATGTTTGTCGCCATTATTTATTACAACGTTTCGGCCTTTCAGTATCTGACTATATTTCTGAGATGAGGTATTATGTACATTATTTACATTATTCGGACTATTGTCCTCATGTTTGTCGCCATATTTTATTACAACGTTTATTTACATTATTCGGACTATTTTCAGTATCTGATATTTATATTTCTGAGATGAGGTATTATGTACATTATTTACATTATTCGGACTATTGTCTTCATGTTTGTCGCCATATTTATTACAACGTTTCGGCCTTTCAGTATGTATTGACTATATTTCTGAGATGAGGTATTATGTACATTATTTTATTGTCATTATTCAGGACTATATTGTCTATTCATGTTTGTCGCCATATTTATTACAACGTTTCGGCCTTTCAGTATCTGACTATATTTCTGAGATGATTTATGTACATTATTTACATTAGATGAGGTTATATGACTATATTTCATATTATTTACATTATTCGGACTATTGTCCTCATGTTTGTCGCCATATTTATTACAACGTTTCGGCCTTTCAGTATCTGACTATATTTCTGAGATGAGGTATTATTTGTACAATTATTTACATTATTCTGAGGACTATTGTACATTATTTACATTATTCGGACTATTTTTCATATTTATTACAACGTTTCGGCCTTTCATATTTAGGTATTATTACAACATTTTCGACTATTGCCTTTCATTTATTACAATCTGACTATATTTCTGAGATGAGGTATTATGTACATTATTTACATTATTCGGACTATTGTCCTCATGTTTGTCGCCATATTTATTACAACGTTTCGGCCTTTCAGTATCTGACTATATTTCTGAGATGAGGTATTATGTACATTATTTACATTATTCGGACTATTGTCCTCATGTTTGTCGCCATATTTATTACAACGTTTCGGCCTTTTCAGTATCTGACTATATTTGAGATGAGATATGTACATTATTTACATTAGGACTATTATTATGTTTTTCGCGATATTTTTACAACGTTTCGGCCTTTCAGTATTGGATATTTCTGAGATGAGGTATTATGTACATTATTTACATTATTCGGACTATTGTCCTCATGTTTGTCGCCATATTTATTACAACGTTTCGGCCTTTCAGTATCTGACTATATTTCTGAGATATTATGTACATTATTTACATTATTCGGACATTGTTCATGTTTGTCGCCATATTTATTGTTTCGGCCTCATCTCTATATTTTGAGATGAGGTATTATTTATTTACATTATTCGGACGTTTTGGCCATTTTATTACAACGTTTCGGCCTTTTCAGTATCTATATTTCTGAGATGAGGTATTATGTACATATTATTTTCGGACATTGTTTGGACAAAACGTTTGTCTTTCATCTGACTATATTTTGAGATGAGGTATTATGTACATATTTACATTATTCGGAACATTTTGTCGCCATATTTACGCAACCGGCCTTTTTTTCAGGTGGGTTGGAACATTCGAACTGAACCCTCTTATAACCATATTTATTACAACGTTTCGGGGAATAGACTGTCATTATTTCAAAGACACATCTTTGGCACAGGGATAAAGGCGTTTAGTTATATCCAGTGACAGGACCCAAAGAATGAGAGTTCAATACCTGGCAGCAAAATGATTGATGTTCCAATTATTTTATGTCAAATATATATATAAATAAATTTTGTCAGCAAATTATTCATATAAATTACCACTATAATAGCCCCATTCATGCAAAAACAAAAAAAGGGGGGATAACAATAATTGAAGAATTAATAATAATAAAAAATAAAAGGCAACATTCAGTATCAACTAGGAACACTGTCACGACGTGCTGTTAAAAAAAAAAAAAACAAGAACATTCCCTATCTGTCTATATTTCTGAGATGACGCATTATATACACTATCTACATTATTTGGACTATTGTGCTTATCTTTGTCGCAGAGTTTATTACAACATTTCGGCCGTTGTACGCTCGGGCCTTCTTCAGGTGGTTGGAATGTTGAACTGAATCCTTTATTTCGCTCACCGGGGTAGACTGTTCTAGTTCCACGTGCCATGTCCGATGGATGCCTGTTATCCCCTGTTAATTCCCCTCTGAAAGCTCTCCACTGCCTTAACCAGGTCTGGAACTCACACTCTTTGGGTCCTGTCACTGGATCTTACGAACGCCTTTATCCACTGTGCCATGTGTCCTTGAGGATAGACAAAGAGATATTTATCTGAATAGAATGAAATAGACAAAGAGAGACTGATCTGAATAGAATGTGACAGATAGTCAGACAATAAAGATAGATCTGATTTGGATGTGATAGATAGATAAAAATTGAACGATCTGAATAGAATGAGATAGATAGATAGATAGATAGATAGATAGATAGATAGATAGATAGATAGATAGACAAAGATTTATGTGAATAGAATGAGATAAACAAAGATGGATTGATCTGAATAGAATTAGATAGATAAAGATGGATTGATGTAAATAGAATGAGACAGATAGACAAAGATGGATAGATTGATCTGAATGGAATTTATAAATAGATAAATAGGTAGATATATATATAATAAAAAAAGATATAGATAAATCGATGTATATGAATATATAATTAAATTAAAATACAGGAAAAGACTATGAACACATGATTAGCTACAAAGTTTCATAGAATATTACTAAAAATTAAGGATCTCTAAATATATATCAAGAGCCCCAGACCATATGAGCAAGCAATATTCAATGTATGGAGGAATGGTAAGCTTATAAATAGGTAAGATATATTCTGTCGACTACAGTGAATCAACTTTCCTTGCAGCACACCTAGCGAAAAAACAAAACTGTCATTTTGAGGTGTAACTCGCACGATAGATTTTACCGACATTGGTCGATTGATATAAATTTATTTGTGAGGAAAAAAAAACGTTGACTTTCGTACTAAAATCGTGGATATTGTATCTCCATCCCGATAGGATCTGAAATTCTCTCAATTCTGACTTCATTTTCATTTGACAATCGTTTCTTTTAGTGATTAATCTGAAGTTTGTTTTTTTTCTATCTATTTTTTTCTAAGTAATTTTGTGTGATACAATTTCAATTGACGTTCTTTTTAGGTTTTCGAAAAGTTGTCATTCCTGAATCAGAAAAAAAAAGTAACGCTCGCAATCCGTCAACGATAAAAGAGACGAGAAAAACACAAAGATTTTTAAATTGCGAAGTTTTTTTTTTTCTTCGAAATCTGGCAGCAGGCACAAGAGAAATCAAATCCTTTTTTTTTGTATGGAAAAATGTTGAAGGAAATTGAAGAAATTTATGAATAGAAATGAAGGTAAAATATTCAAAAGCGAAGTATAATGAAAAATGAATGAATGAAAAAGCAGACGAACAAATGAAAAAAGATTCTATGCAGATTCTAACCGAAAAAGTAGTGAAAATAGAAGGTGAATGCCATCAATGGAGTACAAATGAAAGACAGAAAAATAGACGAAAGAATGAAAATAATTTTTCTTTCATTCTTTTATCTATTTTTCGAAATTTTACATTAAAGGAAGAAAAATGCATTTAAGGAAAAAAAATGAAACAAAAATATAGAAAGTCAGATAAATTAAAAAGTGAAAACGTTAAATGAAGAAAAAGGGAAAGAAATAGAATGAAAAAATAATGTAAAGGAAGAAAAATTGAAATGAAGGCAAAAAAGAAAAGAAATAAAAATAACAGCGGGAAAAATAATGAAATAAAATAAAGAAAGAAAGAAAAAATGAATAAAACATGTCTGCATAAAAAAGAGGATAAAAGAAAAGAAAGAAAGAATGAAAAAAAGTGTTTCATAAAAAAGAAAAGAAAAGATGGTAAAGAAGGTTAAAAAAATACATAGAAAGAGATACAAACAAACAGATAAAGAAAAATAAAACAGGAGAACGAAAGAGAAATAAAACACCTTTTGTTCTTCATAAAAGGAAAAGGAAAGAAAAAGAAGAAGAATGAAAGAAAGGAAAAAGAATGAAGGATAGGAAAGGAAAATGCATGAAAGAGAGGAGAAAGTAAGGAAAAAGAAAGGAAAAAAAGAAAGAAAAAAAGAAAGAAAGGAAAAAGAAACTGACGAAAAAGAAAAAAGGAAAAAAAGAAAGGAAAAGAAAGGAAAAAAAAAAAAAAAAGAAAAAAAAGAAAAAGAAAAAAAGAAAGAAAGGAAAAAAGAAACTGACGAAAAAGAAAGAAAGGAAAAAAGAAACTGACGAAAAAAAAGAAAGGAAAAAGAAAGAAAGGTAAAAGAAAGAAAGAAAAAAAAAGGAAAAAAAAAACTGACGAAAAAGAAAGAAAGGAAAAAAGAAAGAAAGGCAAAAGGAAAGAAAGGAAAAAAGAAACTGACGAAAAAGAAAGAAACGAAAAAAAAAGAAAAAAAAAAGAAAGAAAGAAAAAAAGAAAAAAGAAACTGACGAAAAAGAAAGAAAGGAAAAAATAAAGAAAGGTAAAAGAAAAAAAGGAAAAAAGAAAAAGACGAAAAAAGAAAGAAAGGAAAAAAGAAAGAAAGGTAAAAAGAAAGAAAGGAAAAGAAACTGAAAAAAAAAAAAAAGGAAAAAAGAAAGAAAGGAAAAGAAAGAAAGGAAAAGAAAGAAAGAAAGAAAAAAAAAAGGAAAAAAAAAAGAAAGGTAAAAGAAAGAAAAAAAAAAAAAACTGACGAAAAGAAAGAAAGGAAAAAAGAAAAAAGAAAGGAAAAGAAAAAAGAAAAATGAGAGAAAGGAAAAGAAAAGAAAAAAAAGAAAAACGAAAAAGAAAGAAAGAAAAAAATAAAGAAAGGAAAAAAGAAAGAAAGGAAAAAAGAAACCGACGAAAAAGAAAGAAAGGAAAAAAGAAAGAAAGGAAAAAAGAAAGAAAGGTAAAAGAAAGAAAGAAAGGAAAAAAGAAAGAAAGGGAAAATGAGAGAAAGGAAAAAGCAAGAAAGAAACAGACGAAAAAGAAAAAAAAGAAACGAAATAAATGAATAAGAAAGAAAGGAAAAAAGAAAGAAAGGTAAAAGAAAGAAAGAAAAAAAGGAAAAAGAAACTGACGAAAAAGAAAGAAAGGAAAAAAGAAAGAAAGGTAAAAGAAAGAAAGAAAGGGAAAAAAAAACGAAAAGAAAGAAAGGAAAAAGAAAGAAATAAAAGGAAGAAAAAAGGAAAAGAAACTGACGAAAAGAAAGAAAGGAAAAAGAAAGAAAAAAAAAGAAAGAAAGAAAGAAAAAAAGAAAACGAAAAAAAAAGAAAGGAAAAAAAAAAAAGGCAAAAAGAAAAGAAAGGCAAAAGAAAGAAAGGCAAAAAAAAAAAAAAAAAGGAAAGAAAAAAAGAATGAAAGAAAGGAAAAAAAAGAAAGGGAAAATGAAAGAAAGAAAAAAAGCAAGAAAGAAAGAAACGAAAAAAAAAGAAAGGAAAAAATAAAGAAAAGTAAAAGAAAGAAAGGAAAAAAGAAACTGAAGAAAAAGAAAGGAAGGAAAAAAGAAAGAAAGGTAAAAGAAAGAAAGAAAAAAAAAAGAAACTGACGAAAAAGAAAGAAAGGAAAAAATAAAGAAAGGTAAAAGAAAGAAAGGAAAAAAGAAACTGACGAAAAAGAAAGAAAGGAAAAAAGAAAGAAAGGTAAAAGAAAGAAAGAAAGGGAAAAAGAAACTGACGAAAAAGAAAGAAAGGAAAAAGAAAGAAAAAAAGGAAAGAAAAAAAATGAAAGAAAAAAAAAAAAAAAAAAAAATGAAAAAAAAAAAAAAGAAAGAAACGAAAAAAAGAAAAGAAAAAAAAAAAGAAAGGTAAAAGAAAGAAAAGAAAAAAGAAACTGACGAAAAGAAAGAAAGGAAAAAAAAGAAAAAAGGTAAAAAAAAGAAAGAAAAAAGGAAAAAAATTTGACGAAAAAGAAAAGAAAGGAAAAATAAAGAAATTTAAAAAAGAAAGAAAGAAAAAAAAAGAAATGACGAAAAAAGAAAGAAAAAAAAAAAAAGAAAGGTAAAAAAAGAAAAAAAAAAGGAAAAAAGAAACTGACGAAAAAGAAAGAAAGGAAAAAAGAAAGAAAGGTAAAAGAAAGAGAGGAATAAAGAAACTGACGAAAAAGAAAGAAAGGAAAAAAGAAAGAAAGGTAAAAGAAAGAAAGAAAGAAAGGGAAAAAAACTGACAAAAAAAGAGAGAAAGGAAAAAAGAAAGAAAGGTAAAAGGAAAGAAAGGAAAAAGAATGAAAGAAAGGGAAAATGAAAGGTTCAAAAAAAAAAAAGAAAGAAACAAAAAAAAAGAAAGAAAGGAAAAAATAAGAAAGGTAAAAAAAAAAAATAAAAAAGAAACTGACGAAAAAAAAAGGAAAAAAAAAAAGGTAAAAGAAAAGAAAGAAAAAAAACAAAATGAAAAAAAGAAAGAAAAAAAAAAAGAAAGAAAGGTAAAAGAAAGAAAGAAAGAAAGAAAGAAAGAAAGAAAGAAAGAAAGATAGAAAGAAAGAAAGAAAGAAAAAAAGAAACTGACGAAAAAGAAAGAAAGGAAAAAAGAAAGAAAGGTAAAAGAAAGAAATGAAAAAATAAACAAACGAAAAAGAAAGAAAGGAAAAAAAAGAAACGAAAAAGAAAGAAAACTAAAATAACTTTGTTCTTCATGAAATAAAGAAAAACAAGAAAAAAGAACAACAAAAAATAAAAATGTTTTTCATAAAAAAGAAAATAAAAGCGGAGAGAAAAAGATAAATCAACTTTGCTCTTCACAAAAAAGAAAAGCAAATAAAGAATATAAAGAAAGAAAGAAAGAAATAAAGAAAGAAAGAAAGAAAGGTGTGGAGTAACGGAGGTCTGCCACCTCATAAAAGGAGAAAAGAAAAAGAGAATTAGTTACTTTTTTATTTGAAAAAATGAAAAAAGAGGAAAGATAGAAAGAATGAAATGGAAAAGTTTAACAACTTTGCGACTCAAACTAGAATTACAGGTTTTGCGTTAAAAATAAAGATTGAATGAGAGAACCAAACAGTGAATAAAGCAATGTAAAAAAAAAGAGACAATGGAAATGAAAAAAGAAATAAATGCAAAATAGAAAAAAGAAAAGAGTGATTTCATGGTATGAAATTAAAAAAAAGTATAAGTTATGGTGAAAAACAAAAATGAGCAACAGTAGATAAAAAAAAAAAGAAAATGGCAGAGCAAAGGCAATAAAAGCGAATAGAAAAAAATCGAAATAACTGAAAATTAAACAACAACAACAAAATAATAGTAAACCTCCAATGAAAAAGTATCTGATGTAAAGCGTCCACCATAAAAAAATGAAAATGGACCTGGCCGACGGAGTTAAAAATTACGCCATTTTAAGACTTTAATGTCGCTTCTGTTCAAAAACCTTGAGCAAATCTTTCTTCGTTAGGAACGTCCTGAATTCAATTCTTTTGTACCAATTTTTTTTATAACAGACAATGATTCTTAGGCATTTTTGTTGGAAAGAGAAATGAAGTTGACTATTACTACTAATGTCGTATCACCACATACCCCGACTATTCAGCCATGAATAGATAGATAGATATTAATATAGTTACATAGATAGAAAGATAGATAGATAGATAGATAGATAGATAGATAGATAGATATTAATATAGATAGATAGATAGATAGATAGATAGATAGATAGATAGATAGATAGATAGATAGACACAAATATAAATAGATATTAATATAAGACTTCTTCTCCGGTCCCGACAACTCTCTTATATCCAAGTTACACTGTAGATAGATAGATATTATTTACATTATTCGGACTATTGTCCTCATCTCTGTCGCCATATTTATCACAGCATTTCGGCCGTTGTACGCTCCGACCAACTTCAGTTGGTTGGAATGTCGAACTGAACCTTTTATTTCGCTCACTGGGGTAGATTGTTCTTGTTCCACGTGTCATGGATGTCAGATATCAGTTATCTCCTGTTAATTTTCGCTCTGAATGTTCTCCACTGCCTTAACCGGGTATTGAACGGCCAAAACGTTGTGATAAATATGGCGACAAAGATGAGGAGAATAGTCCGAATAATGTAAATAATGTACATAATACCTCATCTCAGAAATATAGACAGACCCAGATAGATAGATATTAATATAGACAGATAGAAAGATAGATAATATATATATATATATATATATATATATAGAAAGATAGATATTAAGATAGATAGATAGATATTAAGATAGATAGATAGATAGATAGATAAATAACAAATAAGAAAAAGTTCAACATGTTTCGCTTTTATTTAAGCTTCATCAGAAAATGATATATGAAGGAGAAAAGAAAATTCTAGTATTTTTTGTTTGTTTCCCAGTGGTTGAGTAGCCCTCACAAGCATTTGTCTTGTCGAGCAGTGTTCGTGTTTGAAATTCATGTGTGTTTGGTTTATCACCATTCTAGTTGGTCTATGTGGCATTTGGTTAATAATGCGTGTGTGTATGCGTGTGTGTGTCTAATTTGTAGTTTTATTTATGTATGGTAGTGTTCGTATATTGATTGGGGGCAGGGTAGGTAAGAGATTTAATGAATTTAGGTTAAACTAGCCTTTAAGTATCGATTCTATAAATGTTGATATATTAAATTCTGTTTGACATGAGTTTATTGATGGTAAAATATTTATCAGGGTTACTTCTATTTATTTTTATGTAATAAAACACGTTCTTCTCCTATTATGGTGGTTGGCATCCGTCAATCGCGAGAAACCTTGTATCTGCATCCAAAGAGTTATGCTTCAGCTTCTGAGAGCGGTGAAACATCTGTTATGGCTGTACAGGTTGACACAGGTGGGACAATCTCGATTGCAGTGAATGCATGTAAAGACGCTCTCCTACATGCCGACGTCGCTTTGTTGTTTTCCTTCAGTCGAGCATGCTTCTCATCGGCGGCCAACCTCCGTTTCTCCAGTCCTGTCTTCAGCCCACGGTGTAAATCGCGTCTCCAGCGTGAACGACTGATTCCACAAAATTTTCCCGCTTCAATGAATATGTCCATCATTTCAATTTTTTTTACGGACGTCTGGATGAAAATGAATTTGAAAACCCATTTTCTTTCAAAATCAGTTCATTTTACAGAAGGATCTAAACTATTAGGTTGATGTTTATTAAATTTCAATTATAGTTATTTTATATATTTAGAAATTTACACACACACATATTTTTTTATTAAATGCTAACACACACACACACACACACAAACACACACACACACACACACAATTAACACACACACAAACACACACACAAACAAAAATTGCATTTCAAACACGGTGCACAAAATACACACACACACATTCAAAAGAAACATAAACACACTGTTGGTGCATTAACACAAACAATTAAGGGTGCACACACACACACACACAGATTGATTGAGACGAGAAAAAAATTTTTTTCGAGGCTTTTTTTTTTCTTCCGCATATGTTACATGAATTTTTTTTTCATTTAATAGTTTTGGGAAAAGAATTTTTTTGGATTAGAATAATAGGGGCTTGGTTGGCGACTAGTCCAGGAGAAAGAAAAACTCTGAATCAAAACAGCCTGGGGAGAGTTAAGCTCCGACAGGCTATCTTGCCCAAGACACTCTACTTTTACTGCAGCTGCAGTACATGTGGCACCCCCACGAACTTAATTGGTTACATGACACGTGATATTACCAGGTTTTTTTCAGAAGACAAATGATTTTTGTTTTTCAATTTATTTGAGATTTAATGCGAACTGAACGCTTGAGTTAAAAATGATTGTCCATAGAGCTTTTTTTTGGAAACCTATGCTCATTAATTCTACATGATAAGCCCACCTAATTTCAATTTTCTTTTTTAGAATTGTTTCAAAGGATGCGATGTTGTTACATTTCTTCAGCATTGCGTTATTTTTTACCCTGTCATCACATATGGCACGAAGAAAACGCATGTGAATGGCATCAAGTTGATTTAACTGCATGCTGTACAATGGCAAATTTCAGCACTATAGAGAAGTGGTCTGTTTATATCGATCTTTACTCTGAGAGACACGTTTTTGGTGTTCCATAACCTATGTTATGATTACTGAATGCTCTGCTGACTTTGGCTATTCTGGATTAGATTTCTTTGTCCATCAGAAGAGACTGTTGATCCAAGATATGTGATCCCCTCATTAGTTTTTAATGCCATCATTGTTTGCATGAACGGAAAGATTCGTGAGGGATGGATTACCTGGTACATTAGCGCAGTCGGGTTTAATGTTGATAGTGAGTTCAAATTCTTTCGCTGTTTCAGAGAATTTATCAAGGATTGTTTGTTAATCATGTTCACCATAGTCTATAAATATAGAATACAGCGCAGTACGTAATCTGTTCAATGAAACAAAGTTAAAGATTAACACTCACGAGTCAGACACTCCACTGAATCCGCCTATATCCCCAATACCACCAGCAGCTGTTCTGTAATTCTTCAGTCTTCGATATCAAAGGCTGGCAGTGAATATTCGGGAAAAACATGGCCGCCTTTATACACGTCGCATTGAATATTTTGAGCCTTCTGATTGGTTAACCCTTCTATTGGTGAACTATAAAATGAGTCAGCTCATTTTGGCTAGCTCACTAGTACAGCGAAGTAACCCAAAATTCTAACATTGTTATATATATTCAGAAGTTTAATAAGAATCGCATTTATCGTGGGATGACATTTATAGAGCTCAAATGAAGTTTAGCAATCATATATAGAAGAAGTATTTGATAGACCAGATTTGTTTTTTCAGTGTATCTAATTTTATTAGGCAGTATTTCGGGATTGTAATACAAAATCCAATTCATCCTTCTTTAATGGATACTTTGGTCTTTTTCCCGAAGTTGTTTGAAGATAAATTTTTAAAAAATGGTATACAGTGTTTTTGTGCTAATTTTTTGATAGAGTTTAATGTTTTAATTTTTTCAATTTGGATTGAAGACAAACATTGAACGGGATTGTGAAACCTAATTACTACAGTTTTAGAGGTGTCAAATTGATACTGACGTGTGGAAGGCAGCCGAATATTGGAAAAGGGTAAACTGCATTATGGTCATACGTGGCTGGCATCAAAATGCCGTAATCATGACAGCTGTTCAAGGTCCTTTGAAAACCGTGAAAACAATAACATGGAGTTCTGCAACGGAGATTAGGGGGCAGTGGTTTGCAGGATAGATAGACGTTCTGTTTTATAACGTTGAACCAGAATTCATCAAACAACTGCAGGTTAGAGTGATGGCAGACCCAGGCAAGGGAATGAGGAGTTTTCTATTTTAACTGTGAAATTTAGCCTGAATACACTGTATATACAGGGTGTCCCTAAAGTTCGTCTGTACTTTAAAAAAAAATTATAACTTTATTTGTATTTGCGATAGAAATAATCTGTAAAAAGGATAAGAAACAATTAAATCTATGATGTGAAAATTTCTAACCTCTAGAAAAGACAATGTTTATAAATATAAAAATGGAAAAAAATGGAAAAAGGATAGAATTTTTTTTTTTTTTTTGTTTGAGAAAGTCCACATTGGACAAAACGCGTTATCAATAACTACAGTTATCCTATTGCCATTTATATTTATAAGTTAATCTATGTTTTTTAAGGTTTTATTGACAGTTTCTACATGTCCTCCATCATTAGCAATACAAAGGGTAATACGATTTTGCAGTTCACGGAAAACATTTGCCAACTAATTTAGAGTAATATTTGAAATCACATTAGTTATTTTAGCTATTTTTAAAACTAGGTACATTAAACTTTATAACATTTTTTACAGATTATTTCTGTCGCAAAAACAAAAAAAAGTTATATATATTTTAAAGTGCATCCAAACTTTATGGACACATATGTATATATATGGTTTTGTTATATTATATTTATAACATAAATTCATATATATATACTATTCTATATATATTTATAAATATATTTTTTATGTTTGTTTTATTTGAAATTCATTTTAAAATGCATCATTTTTTGCATTTCTTTCATCTGATTTTAAAAACATTTTGTACAATGATTCTTTTTTTGCTTTTAATAACTTAGAATTATTAAAAATTTTGCAGAATTTTTATTTTTGTTCATTTTGCCAACTGATACAAAATAAAATAATTAATGCCTGAAATCACATTAATTTTATTTTAGCTATTATTTAAAACTAGGTACATTTAAAATTTATAATTTATTTTTACAGATTATTTATTTCTTTTTTTCTATAAATATAAATAACATTATATAAGAATAAATATATGAACTTTTAAATATTTTTGGTATACAATAATTTTATATTTATATATAATTATTAAATTATAAATTTTATTTATTCTAATATTTAAAATAAAAATAACAGTAAGACATTTTTTATTTTAAAAAATATATTTAGATTATTTATTTAGGTTTTTTTATTCTGTTTTAATTAGGGGTTTTTTTTTTTTAAACGCATATCATTGTTCAAAGAAATTTATTTATTCATTATATTTCTAAAAATAAAATGTTATTTAAAAACATTTGTTTTTTTAATAATTTTTTTAAAGGTTTTATAAATGAAAATTAAAAATTTTTGCTTTTTTTAAAATTTGGCACAAAAAATGGAGTTTTTTTAATTTGTTTTATTTGAAACCATAAGTTTGGAAAGCTCAATTTATTTAACAAAACATCACACATAGATAATTTAAAAATTGGGTTTTTAAATTTTCTCCACGAAATTTTGAAAAAATAGAGCATAG